AAAGAGTAGTTTCAAGTTAGACTTATTCCTGGGGAGGAAAGCGAGCGTGTAAAACCCGAGGCTTCCGTGGAATAACCTCACAAAACAAAGCAAAAGGGCGAACAGCGCGGCTAGCCGGCGTTTTCGACCTCGCACAGCCTGCCATTTCCCTTTGCGTGCCGCCAGTAGCTTAAATGCAAGGATATCCTGGGTGTGAGATGTCGTCCTCTGCGGGGAGTCTCTCCATCGTAAAGGAGATTCATGGGAGGAGCGGACTGGCTTTAATCGCTGGTTTTTTAATTGCCCCAATGCATCTGCTCTTCCTTGTCTGTGGGCTCTTGATTGGTTTTCCCTAGTTCAGTGTCCTTGACTGTTGTGTTGTTGCAAACCAGCTACTTCTGGGCTGTCTTGCTTATAATAAGCATTTACCTTCCTCTTGCGCCTTTTGCACCCAAAAATACCGCAGCGCTGGGCACAGCGCTTGCACTGATTCTCCCAGCGCTCTCGTGAGACAGCAGAATCATTTATTCCCTTTTTAACCATGAGGCTGAGCGAGATTAAGCGGCTTTGTGAAGGTCACGCTGGAAAGTACATGGCAGCTTGGGAATAAGCGCCAGGACTCCAGTCTCTAGGTTCCAGGTTGTGCCCTCTCCTGAATTGTTTTCACAGGTAGGAACCAATAAACCCGGGACTATTTCAGACTGAATTTGCGTAGTAAAACAGTGAAACCCAAACAGACGTGGGATGTCTGGAGTAGGAGATTTAAAAAAAAAGGAGGGTGCTGTCTTTCTTTGGTGTTGCTCCTGGTGTTAGACATTAAGGCCAAAGCTAAAAATTTTTAGCAGCCAGGTGTTGGAAGGAAAAAGACGTTGTCCGTGTGCTCGGTGTCGCAAGCATCTGTGTACTTAAATGCGTCATTTGGAGATCTTCCATCTTCTCTTGGAGGCATTGTACTGTCTGCTGCCGTCCTCAGAGCTCTGGAGTGGACTCTGGTACCTCTGGATGGGTCGTTTTTCCTTAGTGGGTCGTTTTTCCTTAGTGGGCCGTTTTCCAAGCAACGGCTGAGTGCGAGCACACACGTATCTGCCTGGGTGGGAAGCTCAGAGCTCTCTGACAAGTTCAGAGTTGCTGTCTACGGCTAAGAATGGCTGAACGGAAGCAATTAGCTTCAAGAAATTGAATATCGGGGGAAAAACATCTATTTCTGTAGCAGTTACAGAAAGCAAACTCGGAAAGGTCGATTACAACGGCAGGTAGCAGCTGCCCACAATTTCAAAGGGCTGGAGATGAAATTAAGGGCTTGCAGCTTGAGCCCGGTGGGAAGCACTGGCAGATCTGAGAAAGGGGAAAGCAAGTTCTTTGGAAACTGCAGCCTCCGGTTTGCAGGAGTCGGGTGATCTCGTACGTGCAGGCGTGGGCGTCTCGGCGGCTGCTCTGTGGGGCGCGCGCCTCCACGCAGGGGGAGTTTTAGGCAGAAAAACTTCAGGCTGCAGCCGTGCTTCCCTCTAGTTGCTGTGGTGGCTTTTAGATTCCGCAGACTTTTGACGCGGGTTCTTTTTCCCCCTGTTTCCAATTGGAGCTACAGGCTGAGCAGGCTGAAGCTGTCCTCGGGGGGAAGGAGCGGGGCGGCCGTCGGGTGAGAGCCTGCGGTGCGAACGTCAGGCGTTCCCCAAGGCTGTGTGTGTGAGCACCCGGTAAATAAAGAAATCCGAGGAGTGGAGGCCACCAGTCCGACCTGTTCGTGCTGGTACTGGAGAGGAAACCCACTGAGTGGAGCTTCTCAGTGTCCAGGCTCTTGCTGCAATCGGGCTTGCAGGGCAGTGAATGAACCTGGCGGGGGGGTATCAGCGGTCCTGGTGCATCTTGCACCCCCAGTCACCAGCACCGTGCTCTGCCTGTGAGGTAGTTCTGCACTAGCAGATCCTCACAGACCCCTCTGCATCGTGGGGGTTTGCTCTCGGTTACCCCGGCAGCGGTTGAAGTTACCCCTGTGCTCGCTGATGGTCAGCAGCGAGGTTTGTCGGGAGGTGACGGGCGTGTAGGTGTTGGAGTTCAGTGATCTTCTCTCCACCAAGGTCTGGCCGTGCTTGTGGTGTCGTTCGCAGCATAACCCTCTGCAGTCTCTTACACTCTGACGAACGGACGGGGAAAAGTTTCATTTAAGTAGTTCCAAAGTAAAATCTGCTTCATAGCTGAGAGATTTAAGCCACTAAATGTCCTGACTGGTGCAGCTGCATCTCCTACCACCTCCCACCTCTTTATTAGCTGGCAGAAAAACTTGCTTCTCCTTTTTTCCCATTTTCAGGGTCTTGCCTTCACCTTTTTTTAGCCATATCCTTTCCTCTTAATACACCTCTTGTCTCAAGTCTGCGAGCTGTACCCCCTCAACTCCCACTGGCTTAATTGTGGGAATTAGTCCTTTGGGATGAACAGAAAGGAGAACTGGCTCCCAACAGCTATTGCTGAGTTCACCTTTACCTCTTTGTTAGCTTTGTCCTGCCTCTTACTGTGGTCTTCCTCCATCTACATGGAGAAGGAGCCACATGGGCAGTTTTCCCCAGCAGGAGAGTGCAGCAGAGATGGCAGCGTGAGGAGAAGTAACGACCAAGTACGGTGCTAGCTCGGTGAGCGACCGGGACCTGCAGATGCCCGTCTGGGGACCCTGCCGGCATGGAGGTGGCTGTGTGTTGGTTTTCTCCTCTGAGCTTAAAACCCGAGGTGGCAGAGCTCCTCGGCACCTCCCCTAGTCCTGGCAGCAGCGTCTTTCCTGCGGCTGGACCAGGACCCTTTTCAAGCTGAGGTGTTGGGTGCCAGAACGTTGCTGAGATGGAGGAAAGGTTCGGGCTGGGCCCCGCTCCGTGTCTGCGGGCTCGGGTCACGACGACTCTTGCGTTGCCCCGTCCTTGCATCTCCTCTCCCACAAGCCTGCGGAGGTGCAGCCAGCACCCCGCGATGCGCCCACGGAGAGGCAGAGCTGTTCTGCCAGCTCCTGGGGGTGCGGCAGGCAGGGCCCCGGGCTGCGAAGCAGCTCAGGCCCAGGGCTGTTTTCAGGGCCAGCGTGGCAAAATAAAACCCTGGAGACCTTTGTAGCTCTTCATGGCATAGGCTGGGTGTCAGGTTTGCCTGGTGGTAGACCTCTTGCTCGACTAAGTCACTCCACCAGAGTATTCCTTCTGTCTTTCCCCTACGGGGGTCAACTGGGACAGCAACTGAGCTGGTCCCAGTAAGATCTGAAGAAGGAACTCTCCACATCTCAGGCTTCTCCCCCAAAAAGTTCCAGCTGAGGTTTCCAGCCATCCCAAAGAGTTGAAGCAACAGCATCTCACACTTCCTCCGTAATTCTTGCAGATAATGGCGTATTTTATTCCTGTGGCTCCTGCGTTCGCTGGCCCTGGCCCGCGGAGTGTTTTATCGCTTGGAGCCGATGCCGTGAGGGTTTATGGTGCTCGGTTTAGCCCGGCTAAACTTCATTGCTCCACTCGGTGCCATCCTCACCCAGCCGACGACCAGGCTTCCCGGGCCCCGCGTCAGAGCCGCGCTCGCTCTCCGTGTGCCGATTGCCGTCGCTCACCGCCGCGCACGCCGGTGACTCCCGCGCGTACGTCGCCCTCCCCAAAGGCTCCCCGGCAGATCCGCTCTGGAGTCCTTTCGGGCGCTGCAAGAGCTGTGAAGTTTAGCGTTGCAAAAACTGAGCTGCTTTTGAGCGATTTGGAGTAGAGATTGTCATCGTCTGCGATGGTTTCTCCTGGCGATTGCTTTCCTTCAGTCATTTATGTAATTGCGGTGCTCGGTTTCCTGTGGATTTTTATACTTCATTTGAGATTCATCTGAAGGTGGCACGTTCCCATCTCTAGGAATGTGGCCAGATTGAGACAGGGGCTGCCGAAGCTGGCTGCTGAAATTGCGGGCCGTGGGTTTTGTTTCCTCCGGAGATGCTGCTCTGATTTTCCCAAGGTGTCCAAGACACAGTCTCCCAATGCCTGCAGTAGCCCTATCATTCATGGCTGGGAATATTTTATAGCTATCCCGCTTTCCAACATACTGAATTCCCACAGTAGCTTCTCCTGAAGACCCGTTTCAGTTACACTTGGGGGATATTTTCATTTCTGTATCCACCGACCGCTCCAAACGTGTGTGTGCAGGAGCAAATCCCTCTCCTTACGGGCGCCGTGAGCGCTGCAGAGCCTGGCACCTGGTCCTGCTGCCTCTGCAGGCACGGAGCTCGACGCCCAAGCCACAAAAGGAATTTTTAACACTTGCAGGGATGCTATTTTTTTTTTCCCTAGGCGATTGGTAGAACTGTCCATTTAAGGGATGCCTGTGCACAGGGGAAGGCGTAAGGTTTCCCCAAGTGAAGGACACGGGTGTGAGGGGATGTGGCGATCGTACAGCTGCGTGTTCCCGCCCCGTTGGGTCTCTGCGCCGTGAGCGAGGGTGCTGAGGTTGGGGCCACGGCCTGCCCTCGCGCTTTCCTTTCGGCAGAGGGGAGTGCGGTGCTAATACGCACGAAAGACGCGCGCGAGGGGGCTGTTAGAGTGAGAAACTCTACAATTAAGAGATCGCGGGCCTTTACAAGCAGACGAGTAGGTTGGTGTTTCCGTCAGGGTGTCTTCTCACCAAAACATCATTTATAAGTTGAACAGCCTGCGGGGGCCGTCCTGGCGAGGAGGTGGTTCAAAGCGCAGCGAGCCAACTGAATGTTAAAACAAAGTAAATCAATTAAATGAAATTTATTTGGTATTTCCAAAGAGTGCGAGGCCAAGGCCTCAGGAAAGAGTTTGGGTTCCCCCAGCCCTCCCTTCTCTGCATGAACAGTGCGTGTGGATAACACGGATCCAAGAGGAAGTTCACTGGTTTCAGCCACTGGTTTGTTGCATTTTTACGACTTTACAGCACAGGCTGTTCCGATGTGTCTTTTCCCCGCAAAAAAAAATATGTAAAAAAAAAACCCCAAACTTCGTTGGGTTTTCACGGGAAGGGCCGCGTTTGTCTTGGCTAACTCCGCCTGTCCCGCTTCCCAGGGCCACCCGTTCATCGTGCAGTACAACGACGGGAACGCCGAAGTCGTGTCCATGTGGGTGTGCAGGATGCTGGAGGAGCGGCGATCGACCCAAGGGCCGCAGTGAGCTGGGCCGCCCCACGGGCAGCGCCAGCCCCGCGCTTCGGACTCTCACTCTGTCTGCATCATGACTTTACTAAAAACCTTTTCTAGCAGCATCAACAAAATCTGTCAGGATATTTGTTGCTGCCTTCCCCTCACCCACCCCATTAAGGAATTTTCTTCCCACGTTTCTTTTGTCGCTGAGCAATTTAATGTCCTCAGATTATCTTCAGTTAAACTGTACACAGCCTTAAAGCAAGTATTTTATATCTCTATTTTTTGTTATTGAACGTATTGTATATTTCCTGGCACCAGAGTATTTTTTAACTGTTAGTCTTTAGCCGTTATACAGATGACACGCCGAGGGCTCAGAGGATTTCGTGAGGAGCCGTCGGCTGCCTTGGAGCGCAGACGGCCACAAAACGCTGGTTTTAAACGTAAAACAGAAGCGAACAAACAAACAAAGAAGCATCTGGACTTGCCCGTCCTGCGAGGAGGCGAGGGGTTGCCCTGGCAGAGCACGAGCACCGCAGGTAGATCAGCACCGCCCTACCCAGTGACCGGCGGTGCCTCTCGCGGCGGCGGCGGCGGCGGCAGCTCGGCTTTGCCGGGA